GGTGCGGACCCCCCCCCCGAAACGGGACCCCCCGGATCCGTGCCACGGGGGCGGCCGAAAATCCTTTCCAAGGCGTGCACGCAGGCGGGCGGCAGTGCCAAATCGGTCAGCGCAAGCCCACAGAGACACCCAAGACAGTCCAGGATAGCACCCGGGTAGCCTTAAAGACCCTCCGCGAGAGCCCCAAGACCGTTCTCAAATGGGGCCCGAGAGAACAAAATCATTGAATTTCCATTGGTTTTTCAATGTTTTTAGCGTCCTCGCTTTTTCGGGTTTCCGACGCTCCCGGACCGCCCAAGAAGCTACCAAATTCGCTCCAAGAAGGCCCAAGAAGCTCCCTGAGCGCGCTGAGAGCGCCCCAAGGTCCAAGACGCGCCCGAGATGGCCCACGAACGCTCCAAGACGGCCCAAAAAGGGGCCCCAGGGGGGACCACGAACTGAAAATACGAACCTCCTGCCCGGAGAAGGCCCAAGGAGGCCCAAGAGAGCTCCACAGGGCCTCGGGAAGCCCCCTAAGTAGCTCCGGTGAGGCTCCAAAAACATCCCAAATTGTTACTGTTCCATTGGTTTTTCAATGTTTTCAGCGTCCTCGCTTTTCCGGGTGTCCGAGGCTCCAAGACCGCCCAAGAAGCTCCCAAAACCGCCCCACAACGGCCCAAAAGGCTCCCAGAGCGCTCTGAGAAAGCCCCAAGACGGCCCAAGACGCGTCCGAGATGGCCCACGAACGTTCCAAGACGGCCCAAAGAGGAGCCCTAGGGGGGACCACGATCTGAAAATACGAGCCTCCCGCCCCGAAAGAGCCCAAGGACGCCCCAAGAGAGCTCCAAAGGGCCTCGGGAGGCACCCTAAGACGTTTCGGTGAGGCTCCAAAAACATTCAAAAATGTTACTTTCCCATTAGTTTTTCAATGTTTTCAGCGTCCTCGCTTTTTCGGGTGTCCGACGCTCCAAGACCGCCCAAGAAGCCCCCAAAACCGCTCCACAACGGCCCAAGGGGCTCCCAGAGCGTCCTGAAAAGCCCCAATACAGTCCAAGACGCGCTCCAAGACGGTCCAAGACGGCCCACGAACGCTCCAAGACGGCCCAAAGAGGAGCCCCAGGGAGGACCAGATAACTGAAAATACGAGCCTCCCGCCCCGAAAGGGCCCAAGGAGGCCCCAAGAGAGCTCCAAAGAGCTTCGGGAGGCTCCCTGGGAGGCCCCGGCGGAGCTCCAAAAAGCTTCCAAATCGTTAATTCTCCATTGGCTTAAGCGGAGGAGGAGAAGGAGGAGAAGGAGGAGGAGGAGGAGGAGGAGGAGAAGAAGGCAGAGAAAGAAGGGGAATGAGGAGGAGGGGTTCGCAACCAATTTTCCAGAAATTCGCTTGCGAACCCGGGATTCCAGCTGTTTTCCGCGCGGCCCCCAATCATATGCGCCATTCCATGCGCCCGCGGCCTCCAATTCGCAGTTTTGGCCCGGCCCAGGTTGATTGCCCCCCTTTCTGCTCTTCCTGCGCTTCTCCGAAGTACGAACCAGCGGACCGCGGCTAAAATGGAAAAATGGATGGCACCACGGGCCAAACATTCCAAAGCTTCAAGGAACAAGGTGCATGGCGCGAAGCGCCAATGCAGCCTTGTATACACATATCTCTATATACATATATATGTATCGACGGTGATGGCACCGTGCCAGAAGCTGCGCTGCGCTGTGCCGTGCTGCGAAATGCTGGACGAAACGGGACGCGAAACAGCCCGCGAAACGCCCTACGAAGCACCCCGCGACACACACCCCAAGAAACACTCAACGAAGCACGCTGGGAGACACTTGACGAAACACCCAACGAACAGCCACGAAACACCCCACGAATCACCACACGAAACACCCCACGAAACACCTCACGAAACACTCCACGAAACATCCCATGAACTACCCCACGAAATAGACGTGCCAACAATGCGCGTTGTCCTGCGCCGCGTTGTGCCGTGCTGCCGAGCTCAAGTTCTGACTCAGTTATGAAGCGGGACGAACCGAGAGGGGGCGAATCCAAAGAAAGACGGAACGCACCGAGCAAGGACGGACCGAAACGCGGCACACCGAGACACGACGAACTGAGACAGGACGAACCGAAGCAGTACCAACCGAGACGAGGTCCCAAATCACGCTGCGCCCCCGCTCCAGCTGTCACGACCCCTTATAAATTACGCTGCGTCCGCATTCCTAGGGCCGCGAACCTTGACAATTCACACTGCGCCCGCGCCCCAAGGGCCCCGATCCCTTGTAGATTACACTGGGGTCGCGCTCCCAGGGCCCCGACCCGCGCCCGCACTCCAAGGGCAACGATCCTAGGTAATTTACGCTGCGTCCGCGCTCACAAGGCCACGATCCTTTGCAAATTACGCAGGGTCCGCGCTCCCACTGCCGCGATCCCTCGTAAATTACACTGGGGTCGCGCTCCCAGGGCCAACACTGCGTCCGCGCTCCCAGAGCCACGATCCATCGTAAATTACATTGGGGTCGCGCTCCCAGGGCTCCGACCCCTTGTAAATGACGCTGCGTCCGCGCTCCCAGTGCCACGATCCATTGTGAATTATGCTGCGTACGAGCCCCCAGGGCCCCGATCCCTTTGTAAATCACGCTGCGCCCGCGCTCCGAGGGCCACGATCCCTTGCAAATTATGTGCGGTCCCGGCTCCAAACGCCACGATCCCTTGTAGTTTACGACGTGTCCGCGCTCCCATGGCCTCCTGGGGCATGCTGGGGCGACCAGGTCCCTCAAGTTTAAACAAGCGTTTCGCTCGAGACATCCTCGATGTTTTGGCGCGGGGGGCGCGCCATCCTCGAGCAGGCACGCAAAAACTCTGGGGGTGCGCGCGCGAAAATGTTGTGCCTATCGCGTTTTGTCGCTCCCCCCCTCGCTTTGCCGAAAGCCTTTGGCTCTCCAGATCAACCGGGGAGTTTGGCGGCGCGCGTGGTGGCCGCCAGGCTTGCCCACTGGCAGTGGGCGATCCTGGCCGTCCTCGCGTCGCTGCCCGAGCTGCGCCGGCTCGCGCCTGAGGCGAACGAACCCGCAGCGGTCGGGCCCAGCGTGGATGCGGCGGTGGCCTCGACGCTCGAGCGGCTGAGGGTTCAGAGCCCACCGCCCCCGCCGCCGTGGGCAGTGACGCAGGCCGAGGGCCAGGAGGGCGGCCAAGGGTTGGCTGTCCCCGAGTGCCGCTGCGAGTGCGGCGACGCGGAGGCGGCCGCGGGCGGCTGGGTCGGCGTCTTGCTGAGCCTGCTGGCGTTCGGGCTGCAGGCGCGCGCCTGGCTGCAGGGGCGTCGAGAGGATGGCGCTGCAGGCGCGAGGCTGGTGCTGGAGCCAGGGCTCGTCGGCACCGAAGAGGCTATATTGCCTAGGCTGCGGCCTGGGCAGACGGTGGCGGTGGAATACGGCGAGGGTGCGCCCTGGCACGAACGGCTGCTGGTGGGCACGAGCGCCGAGGAGCTGGGGACGTCGCCAGGCTGGAACTGACGTATCATCACGCCTGACGGCGACGAGTGCGAAGAGGCGCTGGATGGCAGCCAGCCTGGGCCGCATCGGCTCGCGATGCTTGCGCTCGATGGCAGCCCTCCGAGAGTGCTGCGCGGGAAGTTCTATCGGTTCAAGCCGACCGACGAGCAGCTGGTGCGCAAGGCGGTGGAGCACTACCGCGTGCAGGCATTGGCTGGGGCTCCCCAGCGCCTGCCCGAGGACTACGTGACCAGCGCTGGGGAGGTGGCGCCGTGGCCCGACGAGGCCCGCCGTGAGATGGGGGCGTCAGTGATGCCACATGGCGGCGACGGCGTCGGGGGGAACGCGGAGGCCCCGCGTCCCTTGGTCGGGTACCGCCTGGCTGGTGCTTGATCGCGTTCGGGTTCGAGGGGCATGGCGCCGTCGGGGCGATCGTGGAGCCAGCAGATAGCGTGGACGTCCCGGCGGGCTCCTGTGCGATGCTGAAGCAGAACGCCGGCGATTTGTACGTGAAGTGCTTGCTGGTGAAGAAGTCCGAGGTGGATGGCCGCGTTCGCGAGCTCCTCGACCTGGCGGCAGCGGCGGTGAGGCCCGCGGTGCACGAGAGCGACGCTGGCGGCGGCAAGGGCACAGGCTCTCCAGTCGCTGAGCCACCCGCCGCGGTCGCCGAGGAATGCCGCACCTTGTGGGTAGACTTGAATCCACGAGGCGAGCGGTGCAAAGAGTGGGGGCAGGTGTGTCTGGAGTCTCGCTCAGAGAAGTGGGGCGACGGACCCGTGGATGGGGCCTGCCTCGCTGCTGCGCTGGATGAACCAGACCTCCCGCAACGGTGGCAACCCTAGGATCTGGCTGGCGGAGTTCTGCCGCGACCGTCGGATCGAGGAGACTGACGGGGTGTTCCATGAGTTGCGCAACCTGATCGAGGTGGTTCACATCGGGGGTACCTACAACCAGCTGAATATGCCAGCGTTGCAGAGCTTCGAGCGCATCAGCCGTCGGATCGCTACGATCGTGGACGCCTACAGTGGTTCGGGCACGCCGTCGCGGCGGATGGCTCGACGCTGCGAGGGCGTCGCGGGGGGGCTCGACAGCGTGTCTCCTGCGCTCCGCCAGTGGGGCATCAGGAAGGCGAAGGACGAGAGCGAGTTGAATGCGGCCCGCACGCGCAACCTGAAGGGCGTGGCCGATGACGAAGATGATGGAGCTGGCGGTTGCGAAGGAGACAGGGCGGAGGGTGGCGGCGGCAAGAACCCGAGGGGCCGTGGCCGCGGCTCCGCCCTGAAGTCATGGCGGCTCACGGGGGCCGGGAGGGCGCCCCCGACCCGGCCCCCGCACGCGTCAGGGATCTCTCCTCGTTGCCACGCGAGGAGATGCCCGAGCGCCCTGTTGGCCGCGGAGGGCGGAGGCTGCAGAGGTGACGGCGCCGCCGCCGAGAGAGTGAACTGGTTGACAGCGCCGCGCTGGCGCTTAATTGGACGCGTGCCTCCGCTCTCGGACGCGTCGTCCAGGGGGGGGGGGGGGCGACAGCGCGCGGCAGGATGTGCTCGAGTACGTGCACGGGCTGGCCCAGGGCGAGCAGCGCGCGTGCAGACATCTTGATGCACCTTCTACGCGAGTGGCCCTGCGGGAGGTGCTGCGAGGTCGATCCCAGTGCGGGGCGGGGGCGACCAACGACTCACTGGCGCCCTTCCAGCAAGGCCGACTGTCGCTGCCAGAGTCGGTGGAGGGCCCCCCTCGCATTGGCGATGTCTGCGGCAGGCGCGGCCACTACCTGGGGCGGAAGGGCGAGCGCGTGCTTGAGCCCGTTGCCGAGGTCGCGGCCGATCTCGAGCGCGACGGCGCTCGTTGCTACTGCGACCCCGCCTTGGTGAAGCACAAGACAGTGTACGTGACTTTTTTTGAAGGGCCTGATGTCCCGCGGGCTGCTCGACTTCACGCTCGGGCCGCTCGAGAACGCGGGCATCTTCTGCGCGTGGAAGAAAGGCCGCGAACGACGGCGACTTTTTCTAGGCGCGAGGCGATCCAGTCAGTGGTTCAGGCGGCCACCTAGCGTGGGCCTGATCACCGCGGAAGGGGCTCAGCAGCATCGAGTTCGATGGGCCCATGCGAGGACCTCGACGACGACCTGTTGGCGTCCGTGGCCGAGCGGCTCTCGGTGACGGCGGGCGTCGCCGACGTGAAGGACGCGTTCCACAGGTCGAGGGTGCCGCCCTTCTTGCGGCGCTACTTCCGCTTCCCCTCGGTGCGCAGCGGCGCGGCCGGCCTGGCTGGCCAAGTCGTGGGGGGCGTCGTGCTGACGGGCAACGAGCAGGTCTGGCCTTGTCCCGTCGCCTTCCCCATGGGCTTCTCCTGGGGCCTGTTCTTCTGCCGGGTGTCGGGCGAGGAGCTGGCCTGCGTTGCGCCGCCGCTTAGCCCTGACAGCCTCCTGCGTGACCGTGGGCGGCCGTTGGTGCTGGGGTGCGAGCGCGGGGTGGCTCTTCGCCACTACATCTACGTGGGCAACATGGGGATCGTGGGGGCGGAGTCGGAGCGCGTCAAGTCGACGCTCGACGGAGTGGCCGAGGTCTTCATGCAGGAGGGGCTGCTGGTGCACGAGCAGGCCAGGCGCGGCAGGCCATTGCAGGACTGCTGCAGCGCGGCCACTGTTCGGGGAACGCTCTGGAGGTCCTGCTGGGCCACTTGACGTTCCTAGCGATGGCTCGGCGCCCTGTTCAATCTTGCTTTCACTCATGCTATGCTTTTGTTCAGAAAACTACCTTGTCAGTTCGCGATTGTGGCCGAGCGCGATCGAAGAGCTCCAAGTGTTTGCCGGCTTGAAACTTTCTTGTGCCGCGACTGGGCTCGTCCATGGAATCAGCTTGTCGTCGCCTCGGATGCCTCCGAGTTTGGGCGTGGAGGGACTGAGGCTCGGTGGCTATTGGAGCTTGTGCAGCAGGCAGGTAGGGGTCGTGAGAGAGAGAGGTTTCTGGCCCCTGAGGCTGTGAATGCTCGTGTGTCGGCTTTGGGGGTCGAGGATGTCTGCGAGGAGTTGTCTAGAGACCTGGTAGGTAGTGCTGGGGCCGCGGGGCTCCGAGCGGCGCTCCCCCCTTGTCGTCCAGGACGGTGACTTAGAGTTTTTGGAGGTGCCCAGGGTCGGCCTGGATCCCGGGCTCTGGCGCCCGATTTTTTGGGGCCCCTGGCGTTGGAAACAGGGGGTCGTGCACCTCGAGGCTCGGGCCCTTGAGATGAACATCCGTAGGGTTGCTTTGGTGTCATTCGGCCGTAAATTGCGACTGGGGATGTCCAAGATCGCCGAAACCATGTCGGTTTATACCCCTTCTTGGATGTGCATTTGTGGGCCTGGCTTGGGCCTACATGGGTGAAACATGAAGCGACGTCCTCATCGCCCTCCTAGTCCTCCACCTCGAAACCTCCCCCCCCCCTCCTCCGCAGCCTCGCGGTCGTCCTCCTCCGACCCCCCGCCTGGCCCTCTTCCGTAGCCGTTTTGGCTCAGAGATTTGGCCGGCGTCGGCAGATCATTCCCTCGGGCTTGGCATTGACACACTGAAATTCAAATCTGCGCATCATAGCACGCATGGTTTCGTTATCAGTGCTGCCAATTTTCGGGGGGGGGTGGCGCAGCTAGCGTCGTCTGCGGGCTCTTCGACCAGCCCGACATACAGTGCTGCCGCCTTTGTTCGCCTCAAGAACAACTGCGAAGCACAAGCTGGTGGGCGATGTATGTATCTGGCAGGCATGGTTTTGCGCGCGTTGGTGGAGATGGGATGGGAATTTCCTGCGGGCATCTCTTGGCACGACGCGCTGGTAGCAGTCGCCAACCACAGGGGGGCGCCCGCGCCGCCCGCCCCGCCCGCCCCGCCAGATGTACCAGAGCCACCACGAGAACAGTCGGATACAAATATCAAGCGAAAGCCCTCTGATCCACATGGGCACGAGAGTCAGAGTGATCAAACTGAGCCGCAGGCGAAGCGGCACAAGCTTCGGAGAGGTCCTGGCCGACCTCGCGCGTCAGATTCGCGGAGACGCAAGTACGGGGCCCTAGCGAAGAAACGCGCAGAACTTGTTGCCAAACACACTGCGTTGGGGAAGGAGGTGTCGCAACTTCGCGTTCGAGAAAGCGACTCACCAGCATTTTCGCGGACGCAAGGTTTCCAGCTCGCGGCCCGGCGGATCCTATCTGGCGCAGGGGCGCAATCATTGGGGTTTGCACTTTTCCAAGACGCGTCGCGGCGAACGACCGTGGGGGAAGAGGTCGCGCTGCGCAGGGCCAGACTAGTGCCCCACCAGTGTTCGTTCCACGAGATGCTCAGCACAATCCGCCACCATGTCCAGCAGCAAACGGTCGGCATGACGTCGGCCATATTCGCGGTGCAAGCGGGCGCCGCGCATGTTCGAATCTGGCAGCGTAGCAGACTGCGTTCGACGCTTCTGACAGCGATCTTCTTACCTGTTGCCGTTGCAGACATGGGCGATGATAACCTCGACGCTGCAGTTCTCAAGCGCGGGGCGCTGGCGCCATTGCAAATGCAGAAGGCGACGAGTGGAACGGGATTCGGCGCAGCTGGGAACTTAGTGAATGCCCTTGTGAATGCGTAGATGGGGCTCTTGGTTGCTGGCGTTATGAATTTTTCAATGGGGACTGATCGTATAAGCTTCGCACTGCGGTGGCGGCGATGCCAGCCGCGCAGAAGAGGCAGGGGCAAGCGCCGACCTGGGCGGGGAGATAGTCCCAGTGGCAGGCGCTGGAGATGACCCCTGGCCCCGCCGACCAGACCCATTGCCAGTTTCAATTGTTTGTTGTTGATATTTCGAGTTCTGAGATTCGACGATGGCCCTGACGTTGTCTTCAGCAGGCGCATATTCCACCGTGCCCCTTTGGGAAACCCACTGTGTTGGACGATTGATTCAATGTGCTGGTGCCACCAATACCATTTGATGGTTAAGGACATGCTTGATGCAATTGACCAGTTCACCGAGCAAGAAGACATGCGACTTTCGGTGCGCTCGGAGAGGCATCTAACATATTTCGGCGACATGAGCATGTTGCTGACGCGGTGGCGGGAGAATGCAGCCGACGCGTATAACGTTTCGCAGACAGTTGTTGGCGTGAGCTCCAGCGCTGTCAAACGGATCCCACCGAAGGCCCTCATTGTGCGCTGGGGGCAAGTGTCCAGGTGCGAGGACTACATAGGAAAGTGCTGTAAAGATGGTGCGCAGTCGGCGCTGCCTGTCGCAATCAAGCCATCAGTTGATAAGCGCGCCGGGGCCAGAAGAAAGCGGCGGCCAAGGCCGCTGCGAAAGTTAAAGCAAAGGCGGCGAAGGCAAAGGCCAAGGCCCAGGGGGATCAACCTGACCAGCCTGGGCAGTCATTAAGCTTGGCAGAAGATTCGGCACAGGGTGATTCACGACGAGCTCATGCTCAGACAATGGGACCGCGCGCGACTGCTGTTTTCAAAATTATTAATCGCTTCGCTCATTCCGCCGGCCCGTACTGTGCCATCGCAGGCGTTTGCTTGCGCGTTCGTGGCCTCTTGGAGCCTCGGTGGGGCCGTTTGGGGCCTCTTGGCGCTTCTTTTTAGGCCTCTTGGAGAACTCGGGAGGCCTCCAGGGGGCCTCCTGAGCTCTCGTGACGGTCTCTTGGGGGGCTTTCGGCGGGCTCTTGGCGGTATTTGTTGGTCCTCTTGGGGCCTGGGGCCTGACGTTGTTGGTCCTCTTGGGGCCTCACGGGAGCTTATTGGGGCGTCTTGGGGGTGTCTTGGAGAGTCTCTTGGGGCCTCTTTCGGGGTCCTGGGCGCCTTCTGGGGCGGAGGGCTCGATTTTTCAGTCCTCGGTTCCCTTCTTGAGCCCCTCTTGGGCCCGTCTTGGGGCCTCCTGGTCCGCCTTGGGCAGCACTTGGGCCGTCTGGGGGGCGCTCTTGGGCCGCTCCGGGACCGTCTTGGGAGCCTTGTGGGCCGTCTTGGAGCAGTCTTGAAGGCCACTTGGGCCTTCTTGGAGCGTCCGGAAGCGAAAAGGCCAGAACGAGGAAGAAAAAACAAAAAAAAAATGACAATCAACGATTTTGGCAACTTGGGGCCCTCTTCGGGGGCCTCTTGGAAGGCCCTTGGAGCGTCTTGGAGGCCTCTTGGGCTGTCTTGGGGCCATCTGGGGCGTCTTCGGGCGATCTTTGGCCGTCTCGGGCCTCTCTTGGACCGTCTAGAAAGCTTCTCGGGGCCCTCTTGGACCGATCTGGAGCCCTCGTGGACTCCGAAACGGAACTCCTGCATCTCTGACCCGACCATGCCGGGACCTTGCCGGAGACTTTCCGGGACCTTGCCGGGGTACTTTTCGTCCGGGGACCCCCGGGGGCCGCCCCGCGCGCGCGAACTAGAAATATTGTTAACCAGGTACCGGAGATCTTAGCACGCCCTGGCCCGCTGGGCGGGCGAATTTTCAACGACCGCTGGTGGGCCGTGAGGGAAATCTCGGCTATGGCGAGGAAGTCTTTCGATTATCGGATTTGCAGCATCACCAAGCGCAGGGCGGATGGCGAGCCAGGGAACATGACTCGCTTGGTGTGGTGCAGGGGTGCTGAGATCGAGGAACAGCTCCGTGCTCTTCTTTCCTCTGCGAAGTGGGACGAGGCTGCGTCTCAGCTGGGCCACGAGCGATTTGAATCTCAAAACGTCTTATCATTCGGAAGGAAGGTTGGTGTACACATAGCAAGGAGGAGCTACGTCAACCCTGACGATGCCCCCAAGGGACCCCAGGAAGCCCGGCCAGAGGGCCCTATGAGGTTCGAAAGAGCGTGTTCTACCGCTGCTGGCGGAAAACCGGGGGGGGGCCACTACCGGTTCGAACCCCCCCCCCCCCCCCTCCGGAAAACCGGGGGGGGTCACTGCCGGTTCGAACCCCTCCCCCCCCCCCCCCCCAGCTCATCATGAAAAGGGGGGGGGGCACTACCGGTTCGAACCCCCCCCCCCCTCGAAAACCGAGTGGGGGTGCGGACAGTGGTGGGGACGGTGTTGGTGGGGACAGTGGTGAGGGGACAGCGGGACAGTGGTGGGGACAGTGGGGGGACAGTGGGACAGTGGTGGGGACGGTAGTGGTGGGGACAGTGGTGGGGACAATGGTGGGAACAGGGGGGACAGTGGACAGTGGTGGGAACGGTGGTGGTGGGGACAGTGGTGTGGGGACAGTGGGAATGAGGTGGAAACATTGGGACAGTGGAGGGTACAATGGTGGTGGAGACACTGGTAAAGGCGGTGGCGAGGACGGCGGTGGGACAATGGGACAGAGGTACAGTGGGGACAGTGGTGGGGACAGTGGGGACAGTGGTGGAAACAGTGGGACAGCTCAGTGGGACAGCGGAGGAGTCAGTGGGACAGTGGGGACAATGGGGATAGGCAGTGGTTGGGTTCGTGGAGACAGTGGGGAGAGTGGAACCGTGGTGGGAACAGTTGTGGGAACAGTGGGGACAGTGCGACAGTGGTGGGGGCATTGGTGGGGACAATAGGGACGGTGGTGGAACCAGTGGGGACAGTGGTGGTGAGGACAGTGGTGCTGGGAACAACAGTGGGGGATGTGATGCGAGCGGTGGTAGGGACCGGGAGTCGTTTGCTGGCGGTGCGTGGGGGGGGGGGGGGTCGAACCGGTAGTGACCCCCCTCCGGTTTTCGAAGGGGGGGGGCGGGGGGGAGGGGTTCGA